TTTTTATTCCTGGCCATATTAAAAACATCCTACCCTGAAGCAGGCTTACGATATACACATCTTACACCGTCTTCCTAGAGAACGTAACACACTATTGACATCTCTAATAGCTACTGGTTAGGAGGTGCAGGGCGCTCCTGCCGGGATCGCGGCTGACGAGGAGGCACCCGGCCGGCCACGGAGCTGCCGGGGGGGAGGAAGAGGAGGCGAGGTCCTTGCCCCAGCGAGCGAGCAGGCACCGAGTTGCCCACACCAGCGAAGGGCGACCAGGTTTTCATTTCTAGGAGCTGAGTAAGGTGGCAACCGCTGCCCGGAGAATTAAGACGGCTTCGTCTGCCTGGAGCAGAGGGGAACCTCGGCTTCGGGGCAGCCCCCCCCCCGCCAGCAAGTCCCACGCAGACGTCGAAGGCTCCGGCCACCGAGCGCCCCTTCGCATCGAGCTTCCTCTGCAGCGGAGGGGGAGGAAGCAGTCTCGGAGTCTTCACCAGCGACCACCAGGCTGGCCAGGCAAGGACAAGCCCCCCGGCCTCCTCCACCCCGGCAGGGCAAGCGCCCCCCCCTGCTCGGCCAACGCCGGGGAAAAGCAACCCCGAGGGGGTAGGGAGGGGGCGCCCGCAGCCCCCAAGCCAGGCGGTACCTGTGAGCACCGCATCCCCCTCCCGCGCCTGCCCGGGCAGGGAGAGCGTGCGCACGCAGGCAAACCAAACCAAAGCCAATCTTTTGTTTTCCTGAACTGTTTCATAAATCCTCGTCCATCTGCTGCGTTATCGGGTAACAGGCAGTTGCACATCAAGCCTCTTCCTACTTCGCATCGGCCATGGAAGCGGCCCAGGGGCGGCTTAGCAATGCACAGAAACAAAGAGAAAATGCATTGAAACGTGCATGGGAACAGCAGCGACGGGAGGAAGGGGGGCAGGCGAGGCCCCTCGCTTGCTCCAACTGGCGAACCCCGGCGCTAGCTGCAAAGGGTTTGATTAGCGCAGTAACGAGCAGCAGGGGGGCCCCGCTGCTGGAGGCGGCACGGGGGTTCTCCGAGGATCGCCCATCGCTTGGAACGCGCTGGGGAAGAAGCACCACCAGGCCC